TAATATAGCTTGCTTTCTATCCCAAATGCCAGGTGTTACAATCTTTGAAAATTCATTTTTCCTCGGAAGCATTGCATCATAATTGAAAACATTCTTGAAATTCATTGGTTCAGAGATTTGAAATCTTATACGTAATGGATTTTCTTTCTCTTTAGCTACTTCATTGAATGGTGAATATATAACAAACTGACAGTCATGTGTTCCATCTTCATTTTCATTAAATTCATAATGAAAGTCTATAAGTTGTGGCTGACTACCTTCTTCTTTCAGTTGTGCAAGAAACTCACGTAAAGGCTGTAAAGTTTGTACTTCAATGTTGAACTTTTTCTCGAACATCTCATTAAATGAAATCATACATTGCAATGTTGTATCGTCTTTAAAGTATTTGTATATGTGAATGTTTTGGGCGCTTAAAGACTGTTCGTCATTTTCTATCTCGACTTGAAGTATAAAGTCAACCTTTCTGAAAGCACGTGTTATATACATAGATGTTATGCCAATGTACTTCTCTTCATTTATGTTCACAATCCAGTCTGTTGGAAACTTAAACGTTACTCTGTTCCCCTTTATTTTGACGTCAGGGTTTTCACTACTGAACGCAACAGATAAAGGTATTTGTCTATACATTTAATTCGGATAAAAATAAACCATTTACTCTTTCTTTGCTTCAGCTTCTTTAGCTTTTGCTTCAGCTTCTTCTCTAGCTTTTTCGCCAGCAAACGTGGGTTCTTTTGTCTTCCAGCAGCTAATGCAGCAAGTTGTTTTTCACTAAGTTTTCTCTTTGGTCTCTCTGGCTTTTGTTCTTGTTTTTGTTCCTTCAGTTCGGATAAAATTTGCTCACGAATTTCTTTCTTCAATGCTTCAACATCTATGACCCCTTGGGTCTTGTCCGTAGGGCTTGTCTGAGTCATTTGACTGCAGATAAAAAACAAAATTAAAACTTTAACCGATGTAAAATGAGCTTGTCAAAATCAGAGCGAGAGTCTATTATATTAAATGACGCAAGAGGAATACAACATCCTTTCTATTACGTAAGTCAGAGTAAAGATGGTAAAATATACGTAAGAAAAAGAAAGGTTCCATTAGCGAATGCAGAAAGCGACAACATTAAGGTGTATGGCAAGGGTGAAGTCCACGAAGCCCATATAAAACCTTCTATTCAAACTGAAAAGTCAATAGAACCAGAAGAAAAGAAGCCAGATGTACTTTCAATAACGAACCAAGAGCTTATTGCAAAGTTCGTGAATTTCATTGAAAAACAAACCGAGTCAAAGAATCCTGACCCCAGTGAAAGAAGTTGAGACAAAAGAGAATGTACAGTTCATTGAAAATGTCAAGAAACAACTTCCACCACGAATGCCAAGAAGAAGAGTGAGAATAATGAAGTAAATAGATATTTTTATCGAAGTAAATACATGCAGAACGAACAGTTAAACGAATTTACTCCAGCAGAGCATATTCATCAGATTCGCTCATATTTCGATATCATAGACAATGCAGTTCAAATTGGTGACACTAATAGAAAATATTCTGACGCAAAGATTCCATCACAACCTGGAACTGCTAAAGATAACACATGGGTAACATTCAATCTCTCACCTCCTGGTGAAAATATGTTGGACCTTTACAATACATTCATTACGTATAAAATGGAAGGTCAATTTATTGTAGATAAAGAAATTGGTTCAGGTTCCAATAAAACAAACCCACCAGGATTTTGGATTGGTTTCGATGACGCTTTCTATGCAGTTGCTGGATATCAAATCCTTGCAAATGGTCGTATCGTATATTCTCAAGACAACGCAAGAGAAGAAGCATATATAACTTCAAACTCACAAACTACCGAACAAATAAAGAAAGTAGATGTTTTCTCAAAGACTCGACATGAAGATGTATGGAGTCATTCGGGAACATGCAGAACAGGACAAATTGTTAGTGGTCCAATTACAGCAGGAAAATCATTTGATTTTAAGCTTCGTTTAAGAATTCCTGTTAGAAGATTCCTTCCATTAGAAGCTATTCGATTTATTCCAGCTTTTGCAGGAAACATTCAGCTTAAAGTAAAGTTCAGTAGCGACGCCTTACAATGCACATCTATATCTGTAAATGATATCATTGCTTTCAATCCAACTCTTAAAGTTGCATTTGCTTCAGATTCAAATCCACCGACAAATAAATTTGTTCCATGGAATGAACCATTCACTATGATAACGAAGGCAGTAGAAGCTAGTGGAACAGTTACTATTACAACTGTAACCCAGCAACTATTTCGAACAAAGATGGATTTTAATGAATGTTTCATTCATCCAAAGTCATTCTCTTTAGACCCTAACATTTATACAGAACTTGTAGAACATTATACAAACGAGGCTTTATGTTTTCCTGTTAAAGTTATGGATTGGATTCCTATGGACGGTTCATTCTCAAAGAATACAGATAGTTCAAGTGCAACATTTACAGCAGCTTATACGCCTATTAATGTTAAAAGTATTTGGGCACTATTTAGAAAGAAAGACAACTATTATGTTAATTTTGAGAACCCTAAGTTTAAATATCTTCAGCTTTCCATGGGAGCTTATGGAAATATGCCTGCAGAACCTGAAAAATCATATGGACCTGTATTTTATGAAATGGTTGCGAACGCTGCAATACAAACAATGATATGATAGGATTTAATGAAGATGTTATGAGGTCATTGGTGGATGATGGTAGTGTGGAACATAAATGGGATAGCTATGACAACACACATTTCTTATGTGGTTTTCCAACAGAAGTGGACTTTTGCTTCCAGCAAGGTCAAACATCTACTGCTCCAATAACATACAAATTGTCTGTTAAAGGACCTATTGAACTAGCAACTGAAAATGTACCAAAGCCACTTATTGGATTTATGAGGGATTGTTGCTTTGCCATTCAGGTGCGTCATGGCATCCCAATAATAAGATTAGATGACTATAACTTAGCTACGGACGACAGTGAGGAATAAAGGATGAACGTTTATTTTTAAAGCTTATAAATGAGTTCTTCATCAAGCTCTCGTGAACCTTCACCATCTATGAAACAAACTTTACCAAACGATTATGGAGCACCTATTGAATATTTCTTACGAGCTGCACAATGGCAAAGAGCAGTCTCACCAAGGTTAGGTGTTCCACCAGCTCCTGTCAAAAATAGCATTTGGTCAAGTCCTTATATAAAATATGGTCTCCCACTAGGTTTGCTAGCTACAGCAGGAGCAGTTATGATGTTGAAAAGAAATAAAGCAAATGTTGTAAATAATACTGAAGTAGCTGAAGTTAAACAAACTCCAACACCTTCGCCAAAACCAACGCCTTCACAAGCAAAACCTTCAATGACTCCTGAACCTATGGAAGTACAAACTCCTGTTCAAAAGTCAACTCCTAAACCGACTCCAACATTTAAACCAGAACCTACTCCTCAAATAAATCGTAAAACTCCTGCGTTTCCTTACTGAAAAAATAACGTTATTTTTATTTAATATTAAAATTTTTATTTGATTGAAATGACGACTAAAGTCACTGAAGCAATGAAACAAAAGTTTTTGGTAGAATACATTAAATCAGGAACTATTCCAGAAGGTTTTTACATTCATACTATGAAGGATGGTAGAGTTCAGTTTAGAAAGATAAAGCAACCATTAGATAAAGAAGGAATTTGGAAAGATTAAACTTCATGAGGACAACATTGCTGAACTTAAGAAGAAGTTAGAAGAGTTGGAGAAAGGAAGAGAGTTATAAAGCAATGAATTCAACAGGGTAGAAAAATGAGGTAGATCTAACCACTTCACCTAAATTTATTTTTGTGCTATGTTTTCATACGTGTGAGGGTGGTGATATCATTATTTTTTATTTTATTTTTTTATTTTATTTTTATATAAATGACGAAAACTATTGAGATAACAAACTACAACGGTCATGAGTTCAAGAATTTGTTCTTCGTTCCTCGTGAAAATACATTCTATCAGATACGAGGGAGAAAGGGTAAAGTTAGTTTGAGCGTTTATGACAACAAAATAATGGAAAGTTTATAAAGCATACGATACAAACGGTAAGCGTGTTTCATTAGCTTTGTCAAAACTTACTAACATTTATTTTGACAGTGACTTTGACTCTGACGATTGGAGTGACAGCAGCGATACTGAAGAATATGAACTATTGTGTGAAGCACAGCAATGGGAAGCGCTGCAATACTTTTGTAAATGAGAACATTAGTGGGAACGTTAGTGAGAACGTTTATTTTTCATTAGTGAAGTCGTTAGTGAAGTCATTAGTGAAGTCATTTATGTGTCAGATGGTTTTGTAAATATTTAAGGTTAAGTTGGGTAAGGTGGAACGCAGTGCCGCCGTACCCAAGTTAACCATACTAACTATACGAAAGGGAGCCTCAGGGCTCCTGAGAAACCTCTTTGAGAAGGTTTTCTTAAAGAAAACCTTCTCAAAGATGATTGTCAGCATTCACTCAAAATCTACCAAGAGTTTCAAAGTTTCAAATCTATCTGAAATGAAGCTTTGAATCTCTTGTATATCTAATTGTAGAGGTACCTTTTCAAAATGTCTTCTATTGATTAAATTTAATCAGTAAAAGTCTTTGAAAAGGTACATCTCTATAATTGCTATTGAGCATTCACTCTTGGAACCTTGGAGCTCTTGTGTAGTGCATGAAAACTCCAAGATTCTAGAATAAAACATATATCATAGACATAATTTCTTCAAATATAATTTAAGGTTATTTTTTAAAAAAATTAGAAAAGCGTAATTTAAGGTTATTGAAAAGTGACAGTTGGCAAATTTGTCCCGCACTCCCATACTAACACAAAATCGAAGTTTGATCAAGTGAATATTAAATAAAATGAGTAAACTAGGTAGATGCCAGTTGTTTTCTGCATTAATGATGATTTTCTTTAATACAATTGCATTAAATATGGAAATTCGATTTGATTAGTCGAATTGATTTGTCACTTTTTATCTAAAATTATAAAAATGGCAGAATCTATCATTACAGCTGCAGATATAGAGCAAAAAACAATACAAATCATTCAATCAGGAACTCTAGATGATTTTAAATTGCTTGGAATTGGTAGTTCTGATATAAATCGTAGTTTATCAATTTCATCTAGTGTAAAAATTGTCAATAAATCCAAAAAATACCCTTTTAGAGAAATAACATCTCCAACAATTGTCGTTCTAGCTATCCTTTGTGAACGAGAAGATATCCTTGAATATATTCTCGATAATTTGAATCCAAATCTTTCAATTTACGTCAATGGATGGCATCCAATTCATTACGCCGCATGTACTAGTAGCTATAAATGCATGCAACTTCTTCTAAAAGTCCAATATATCCAAGAAAATATTGATATTCCAATTATTCCATCATTTAAAATTGAAACAGACCCTTCTTACCATACAACAGCTCTTCACATTGCAGTTACAAATCATAGATATGCTCAAGTACTCCTTTTGACATCGCCATTACCAGATATCATTTATACAGACGCAGGAAAGAAAATTAACAACATTGAACCGTCTGAATTTGAGTCCGCAAATATATTCCAGTTATCCTTACAAGGAAATTCGGCTCTTCACATAGCAACAAAAATAAAAGACGTAGATCTTGTCCGAATTCTCTTGATTGCAGGTGCAGACCCTAATATGGTTAATCACAACAATATTACATCCACCAATCTTGCAAAATCTCTTGACTATCGCGAAATTCAAGAAATTTTGAAAAATAATGATATCGGTGAAGTTGATTTTTACGAGAAATACTTTGAACCTCTTGACTTCCACAACATGACAAAGGATAATTACGATGAAAATTCCGAAGAAAACCAAGGAAAACCAAATAATGCTTCGAAATCTGAAGTTGAAGAGCTCCAAGACGAGCTAAATAAGATGATCTTCCAAATACAAGAGCTAAGTATCATGATTCATGACTTTGAAACGAAAGATCAAAATGTTATTTTACATGTCTGTTCAAGATGCGGAAAACTGACAGAAAATCAATGTCCAAGTTGTTCCGAGTACTTCTGCGAAGACTGTTTCAAACTTGGAGTTCATTCATGCAAATCTTCTCAATGAACAGAGAAAAACCTATTTTAATTGCTTAATTTTGTTGTATATCGATATTATTTTCATCTTGCTGTTATAAAATTTTGTTTTTATTCATACAATTAACAAATTTTTTAATTTTTAATTTGATTCGCCTCAAATGACTTCATAACATCCATATAATCTTTTTATTGTGATTTTAGTATATTCAAATCATCATTATTCATTTTCTTATAGAAATGTCAGTTTCATTTCCAAATTTTTTCACTATCATGTGTTTTTAGATCATATTGAACAACGATCAAGATACTGTATGAATGTAATCAGTTACTTCACATCTATTACTCATTACTTCTTTGTCAAAGAATAAAAATTAACAATGGATCGAGGAATGGCATCATATATTACCAATTTTGTGATGACAATAATTAAGCATTGTGTGTTTATGCGATGGTACTCTATTATGGGCCATAATGGAGGATGACAAAAATTTAATTTGATTAATGATAGAAAACATTGAATTCAATCTGTCCAGAATCTCCAAAATGATACACATTAGTCGGACTTTTTCTGCTGAAAGATTTTATTATCAAAGTTCAAATAAACATTGCCTTCAGATTTCATTTTTAAATGGGGTTCCTGATATTCTTAAGGGTGCACACGAGAGGATCATGTAAACTTCAGAATTTAGAACCTTATTTTAGTCATTATCTTGGCTACCTATTTAGGCTCGAAAAGCAAAAAATATCAAAAAATACAACTTGACTCCATTATGACCCTTTCATGGAGGTAGTTTTTATCCGCTAGTATTTTCCCTTTGAATCTCTTTACAATTCGAAATCAAATTCAAACCTCAGTAGAAGAAAGGAAGAATCGACTTACTACGGTTGTAATACTAATAAATACATATATTTAATTATTTTTATTTACATAATAATTGTTTGAAGCTCATATTCCATCAAATTTTTAAATAAAAACATTAAAATGTTGAAACTGTTTATATATTTTAATAGGGTTTTGGCACTTTATTGAGGAATTACTACATACATAGTCGAACTGAACTTGATATTTTGAAATTTAAATTATTTATCAAAATTAAAATTTAACTTGAAATTTATAATTATTTAGTCATATTTTGCATAATTCTAAGTAGATTTTGTAAAAAATCAAGAAAGAAAAATTTTAACGTGCTTTATTTTTTCTTTTTTATAATAATACATATTATTATATAATTAACATATTCATAATGTTTCACCCTTTCAAAAATATAATCCTCCTCCTCTCAAATAAACGTACATACGGGTGGCCTCTTTTTTCAAAAAATTAAAATTTGAAATTTTGGGCTCAAATATTAGAGATTTTTTCAACCTTCAACGATATATGTTGTCTATATCAGACCTCCTTTCTTTTTGATACTTAACATTGTTCCTAAATCTTAGCCGTTAAGGCTGTTCTGAAAATAGGGTTGTACAAACTGGCACAATTTTGCGGGCCGCCTGCCAGGAGCTGGCACGCGGCCAAAATCAAAAAAGTGGCCAAAAATCGGGCCTCGTGACGTGGAAAGGGTGGAGCCCGAAGGGCGACATCCTTTCCACGCCACTCGGCCTATGACCACAATTATATAATATGCTCATTATTATTTTTTCTTCTTTTCTTCTTCTTTTTTTTTTTCTCTTTTCTTTCTTCTTTTTCCCTTTTCCCTTCCTTTTTTTCTAGTTTTGGAAAGGAAAAAGTAAAAAATTTAATAATTAATTTTATTACTATGAAAATATACTTTTTAGCTTATATTGTAAGCTGTGAGAGTTTTAAGTGATGGAAGATATAAATCAAATTTGAAATTCAACAAATCTTGTTATGATTAAGTTGAATATTGTACTCTAATTAAGAGTTTTCAGTTATGAACTCAGGTATTATATAATAAAAGTATAACTCAAGATAATAAAGAGGTTTTTAAAATGTAGATCTGAAAATCAAACTACCATGTTTGATATGATTAAGTTGAATAATGTTATTTTATTAAATGGTTCAAATCTGTGAAATCGGCAATTACAAATTAAAGGCGTAGTTCAAAAAATTAAAGAGATTTTAAAAATTTAATATCAGAATTAAACTAAAAAAAGGATTTAGTTATTTCAGTAATTATCAGAAAAGGTTAAAAAGATAGGGTAAGTAATGAGACTTGAGTGAGATGTGAGAAATCATATGTAAAAATTAGATATCTGATGAGTAAGGTAGTAAAGAGAGATCGAGTAAGGTAGTAATGAGAGTTAAGATCTGGTTAGTAAGGTAGTAATGAGAGTTAAGATAGTGGTAGTAGAGAAGGTAGTAATGAGAGTTAAGATCTGGTTAGTAAGGTAGTAATGAGAGTTAAGATCTGGTTAGTAAGGTAGTAATGAGAGTTAAGATCTGGTTAGTAAGGTAGTAATGAGAGTTAAGATCTGGTTAGTAAGGTAGTAATGAGAGTTAAGATCAGTAAGAGTTAAGATCTGGTTAGTAAGGTAGTAATGAGAGTTAAGATCTGGTTAGTAAGGTAGTAATGAGAGTTAAGATCTGGTTAGTAAGGTAGTAATGAGAGTTAAGATCTGGTTAGTAAGGTAGTAATGAGAAAGATCAGTAAGTAATGAGAGTTAAGATCTGGTTAGTAAGGTAGTAATGAGAGTTAAGATCTGGTTAGTAAGGTAGTAATGAGAGTTAAGATCTGGTTAGTAAGGTAGTAATGAGAGTTAAGATCTGGTTAGTAAGGTAGTAATGAGAGTTAAGATCTGGTTAGTAAGGTAGTAATGAGAGTTAAGATCTGGTTAGTAAGGTAGTAATGAGAGTTAAGATCTGGTTAGTAAGGTAGTAATGAGAGTAAGATCTGGTTAGTAAGGTAGTAATGAGAGTTAAGATCTGTTAGTAAGGTAGTAATGAGAGTTAAGATCTGGTTAGTAAGGTAGTAATGAGAGATCTGCGGGCAGTAATGATACATCTATGAGTACATAACTAAAACCTGAGTTCTATGAGCGAAATCTGAGAGCTAAAAGCCGAGAGATCTAAGGTAAGTAATGAGAGAAGAGAATTTGAAATTTTACAAAATACGTTTACTCATACAAAATAATTCGCATTCTTTTATAACGAATCTCAATGCCAATTAATACATAAAACAGATTTTAGCAATCAATTGCAAGATTTAGAAAGATTTTATTTATAATCTCAGCCAAATTAACAAATATTTTATTGATTTCGTAAAAAATAGCAATAAAACATAAAAACATGACATTCTATTTTTCCAAAAAAATTTCAAAAATCATTTTTTAACATGAAATTTATATTTTTTAATTTTTTTTTAAATTTTGAATTTTTTTTTGGAATTTTCAACCATGTCAAAAGTCGGGATCTACAAATGTATTCTCTTTGACATAGGATAAAAACATCCTTTCTTATAATTTCATTGTAAAATAAAATTTTCTTAAATTTATTGAATCCAAACTCAACTTTGCAACATTTTATTATCATAAAAACTAAGAAACATCAGGTAAACTTCAATTTGGAGAGCTTAAAATCATATCTAAATTGAAAAATAAGGGGAAAAATTGTAAAAAAAATCTCATTAGATGGGGCAAAAAGTGTTTTTAATGTGTTTTTTAAAAAAATCGTGCCAGCTGGCCAAAAAAGGTGTGCCAGCAGGCGTGCCAGTTTGTACAACCCTATCTGAAAATATTTTTTTTCGAAAAAATTCGAAAAAAATTCTTAAAATTCAAAAATCCCTTAATTCCTGAGGATTTTGGAAAAAAGTTTTTACATGAACATGTGTATATTATATGAAGTATATTGATAAGGTAAAAATCAAATTTTATTGCATATTCATCGAGAAAATAAACTAACGAATCCCTCAAAATTGAGAGGGTAATCCTCCTCCTCTCAAATAAACGTACATACGGGTGCACCCTTAATGAATACTTGAAATATCATAAGTCAGATCAATACTGCATGAGAGATGCTTATGTTTCACGCAATTTTGATTTCATTTCTTTCTTGATTAATGATTTCCATATTACCCAGATTTTCCTTACTTTTACCACCCCTCTAAAGCTGGGGACACCGCCTATCGTTGGGAGTAGCTATTAAATAGAACCACCAAGGGTATTTTTCGAACTGCCGGTGTAGTGGAAACATCCGACATAATGATTCATTATGCCAACGTTTTATTCCCATTTAGCTAATTTTTTTCTTTTTTGGATCATGAATTTTTTTTGGGTCACTATAAGATTTGTTTCATGTTCTAAATCTGCTGCGTATGTAATCTATTTTTATTTACCTATTTTTTAAAAATCTATTGGATTGCCAAATTTGAATATATTTAAAATCATAAAAATCCAAAAAAACTATAAATATATGTTTTATGCATAGTGCCGATACTCAAATATCAGATTACTTAGATCCATGAATAATATCCGAATTTTTTTTCTTAAAATTAAACTTCAAAACTTCTTGCAATATTATTCTTAATCAATTGTAAATTTTTAAAACCATTTTTTAAAATAATTTTGCGTAAATTTTATTCTCATGTTGTTTTAATCGAAAATTGATACATTTTCAAAAAAAATAATATTGACTTATGAAATTCATTTTTAAGGTGAAATAGTATTGTTTTTATTAAAGTATATGAATAATATATAAAAAATTAATGAATAATATAAGCAGATTTTTAGTTTACAAAACAAATATGAGCAATGCAATTTCAAACTTTTGCTGGCAATTTCGATATTGCTCAAGTTTGTAGTATTTGTGATACCTATAACATCGGCTTAATCAAAATTCGATTTTTCTTATGAGTTATTGAGAAAATTTGATTGCAATGAGAAGGATTTCGACGTTTTTGATAAACTAAGAGCTGAGCTTTAGGGGTTCAGTTCATTTATGGCTGTAGTTTGATGCGTAGATCTCTTTTTTATTGTAAATTCTTTCAGCATGGAGATCGAGAATGAATCTTTTGAGAACTTTATGAGTTTTTACACCCGTAAAGAGGTCCTTCGAGGAAAGATAGTCCAGACTACATGAAGATGTGGGTTAACCAAAAAAATCCGATGGTTTCCCCATATTCATGTAGATCTTCGAAAAAATGAGCACCAAAAAAGCCAAAAAAATAGGCTTTTTATTGGATTTGTACACTAGATCAATAACCTATTTAGGATCTGACACTCTTTTTAGCCAGAGATATGAGGTCCTTTCTAGGAAAACGATCTATTCATCCATAAAAAAAAAATGAATTATCGTTTTCCCCAGAAATTACATGGGGAGTGGTAAAAGTAAGGCAAATCTGGGTAATTCGATTCTTCAGGCATTCGCAAAGTTTTTGGATTTTACAAGCGATTTCACAAGTAGCTATGATGATGCAGTTCTTTTGAAGGCATCTTTACATGATATTTCCGAAATTGAAGCCATGCATATTTCTTATGAATCAAACAATAATGGTTTGACACCACTTCATATGGCCATTGCTCGCGAGATTGGATGGGAAAACATTTTTATATTTTGTCCATATTTTGGATATCTTATCCCATATAGAAAGTTGAATAGAATTTGCAATATCGAATATTATTTCACGAAGTCAAGTTGTACATTCAATTTTTTTTCTGATAGTTTACCATTTAAATTTCATGTCTTCTAATGATTATCAAGCATATGCGCAAGACTTGAAAAATGGTACAATAATAAAGAGTTTATTAGTATGAGATCAGTCGAAGAACTCTCAAAGATCTTTGAACTTTGTTCATTTACAACAAAACAGTTTATTGAAACATTCGAGATCATCAGAAATAGTTTTGGTTCATTAGGCATTCTTACAATTATGCAGCATACAAAAATACCCAAATTCGAGAACAAGAAGCTGCTGAAACATTGGAATTTATTTCAAAAATATTTAACAATCGAGCACTTAATGATATTTCGACCTTTTTCATGTCTCAAACTCCACAAGAAGGAACAACAACAGCATTAATTGACAATATCAGACATTTAGCGAATTGCAATCCAAACTCTGAAGATTTTGAAATTATTTATCATATTTTAATCAAAAGTGCAAAAGAAAATGATAAAGAGGCACTTCAATTTGCCGGCGATCACAATTATTCTCGTGTGAGAAATAAAGATGGATTAACACTCATAGAATATGCATTTAAAAAAGGCAATTTTTCAGACATTGATTATCTGTTAACTGTTCCAAACATAGATGCCGCAGTTTCAGATTATAGTATATATTTTGATTGGGATGAAGGCCATCAATTTGTTTCAGGTGAGGATATCTATAGTCTTGATCGAAATCGTTTTGATATTTATGCCGCAAATATCACAGCTATCAATCAAATGGGTAAAAATGCATGGCAAGTCCACCTTCCAGATTATCCAGATGATGATTTTATTACTGTAAGCACCAAACGCTTCCTTCCAATAAATAAAATAAATACAGCTATCTATAAATGTCAGGAAGCAGTGAGGTTAGAAAAAGATGCTGAGGAAGAGTCAGAAGCGATCTAATATATTTCTTATTAAGTGAAGAGAAGATTTTTATACTTTGAATCTATAAAATCAATTTAACTCCCTTGATTTTATTGTTTTTATATATTTATTATAAAAATCCCTAATTTTAACACAATTTTGTCTTCTAATGTATTCAAAATGAGATTCTTTAGTCATTCTATTCCTCAGTGGAATGAATATCAAAATTTTGGTAAAAAAAGTCCAAATTCATATTTTCATAGAATAAATGAGGTATCAGAATTTGCATAGACAATCATTTGATATTACTTTTAACCATCAAAATTTGATTCAGAAAATATCAAAAATAGAGTTAAGTAATGAACTATATATTCATGTGTCTACATTCAAAATAAAGAAGTAGTATATTTGTTGTACAATGAATTGCTGTTCGACCAAACTATATTCTATTATTGATTATTACACAGTATTAAATAAAAGTTTTTGCAGCTTCTGAAAACAAATAAAGCATATTATATTTCGCACACATTTTTCCTCTCAAAAAATTTGTATTACTATCTTCCAGAAATTAAGTTTAGAATACATATGTAAATGACGCTACTATTCACTTGAGATTTTGAGATAGCTATATATGAAATGTTTATAATAAATATATTTTCGCATATTCAGCATCAAATCCAATTTTTTTAATTAAGAATATCTCAATTTTCATGGAAATGCACGAAAATGTGTTAATTTCTCAGAATAAGTTATAGAAAGTTAAGCCATAAAAATTTGTCTATTTCTCATTATTTAACTAACAAAATTGACTGTTCATTTTAAATTTTTGTTTTTTGTATTTATTTCTGGGTATTTGGATGAAAACAATAATAAAAATGTTTTGTGGAGTGATGTATTTGATTTAAAACAAAAAAAATCAATCAAATTTTAAGAAAAATAATAAAAATATAAAAATATAAACGTAATTAGTCATGTTTCTCCTTAGAATAAGGTGCAAGGAGCTTAACAATCTTTGATGGAATAATAGAATATTCGTAGGCGTGTTTGATAAACGGTCTGAAGATAGCAACAATGACCCAAGCCCAGTAAAAGAGCTGGATGTATGTATTTCTGAATACATTCCAATATGGTGATGGCATATCTATTGTAATTGTTGGGACGTAGAATTTAATTGTGAATTTTGTTTTGTCTGTAAGTGCTGTATCATTTGTTGCGACTGTCTTTGTACCAACGAATGATGCTTCTAGTGGAGAGGATGAAAATTGTTCATAAATGTGATCAATCGAGAAAACATCGTTATAATTTGTTGGATCTATACCATTAAGTAGAGAATATAATGAAGAGTATGATTGTACTAATGTACCCTTTTGAGTGATCATTAGTTGACCTGTATAAGTGTATGAGTTGTAAGATTCTTCACATGGGAAGCTGATACTTATGTATGAATAGATTTTTGGCTTGCTATAATAGTTGAAACGGAATGAAAGAGGAATAATTGCCTGTGCATCGATCATTTTGAAGCCAGAAACAGAGGGGATTTCCAAAGAAACATTTACACGGCCGTAAGGATCAATCATCGAGCGGAAAATTGGAGCTGGTCTAAGAGGAACAATACTGTGCTTTTGGAATGCTGGGAAATTGCAACCTAAATATGAATATGTTTCTGTGGATGACTTTAATGTACCTTTGATGAAATAATACGATGGTACTTCGATAGTTGGTTTGTCTGTTGATTGAATCGAACTTGGAGCAATGAAGAATGTCATAATAACAAACCAACATGTCATTAAAACAAGGACAATAGGCCATAAAAGTTTGAATAAGAAGCCGCATGAACATCTACTGCCTCTGTATTGAATTGGCTCTGGAGCATCTTTCCAAATTGTTATCATAATTTAAGAACGAGATTAATAACCGTTTATAGATTCTTGTCACTTTTATTTCATGAATTTCAAAAATAGTTCAATTGCAGGTAATTATAATCACACTGTTTACTCATTTATATTTTTCATAATTTTCTGATAAAATAATTTTGGGTGATTTGACAAAAAGTGCACGTTTATTAATTTGCAAAAAGGATTTTTGAGGAAATATATATAGAAAACAGGTTCATTCGCACATAACAACAGAAGAGGATAATAGATCAAATTCTTCTCAAGCAAGAAGTACTATTTTCTCCAGCTCCATCAAAATCTAAAACTCAAATTTGATTTATTGATTTATAGAAGATATTCATTCAAAAGAGCGTCATAAATACAGATATTTTAGATATATGCTTCCATTTTGAAAGCTAGATGTTGCTCATTTGCAATTTAAACTCTCATTTGATTTGCAAACTTTATCAAAATCGATAATACCAACACAAACAAAGTTTAATTACCTGAAACTACGTATTGGACACTAAATATTGATGAATGTAAAGAAATTGCTGAAATATAACTAGTATTCTTCATCAAATTAGCTTTGTTAAAGTGGTTTCAAATGGCTTTGGTGCAAATCAAAGAAAATAATTTTTTGTTGAATAAAATATTTCAATTTATATTTGTGATGTTGACATCAAATAATCACTATTTTTGGATTTTATAATCTATGTTTTTCAATAATTCATAGATAATCAATATGGCTGTGAAACTCAAACGACATTAAGTTAGTAATTGTTAGGGAAATATTTATAATTGCAAATTGTGTAAGATGGAATTCGTTTAATGAGCTCCATTTAAGAATGATTTGTCCTGGTATTTCAATGAAATATCAAAAATAGCTTCTATTCATGAATAAGAATTAATTACGCTCCACGCCAATAATATTAAAAAGTGGCAATAAAACATGAATCCAGCAAAAGATTCAGTTATCAGGAGAACATTAAGGACGATGTCAGAAATGATTTTCGACCGATTTGTAGATTCATCATCAGATGAAAAAACAATCAGCGAAAAAGAGAAAAAGAAAATTGATCGCGCTGCATTAAAATACATTGAAGCATCAAGCTATGTTGCAAATACATTTGATGAATCATTCCAATATCTAATGCAAGTTCAAATGCAAGCGCAGGCTCAACAAATTGCTGCAAATCAAAACCAACACTAAGTTTTACAAGCAACATTACATAGTAATAGAGGTCTCAAAGTTTAAATCCTTATTGCTCTTATTGTACAATATTATTTTGTTCATAATTACAAATTTTTGTTTATTATTGATATTAGAATAAAATCTCTCTTTATGTTAATTAAAGTTAGTCATGGTTTTGTACTTATTTTCTAAATTTTTTCCTCTAAGACGTTAAAACGCAGCATTATTTCCATATTGATTTATTTCTTACATAGTTTTGTAAGTCATATATCTAATTCATTACCAACCTTATCATATCGACCTTATTTTTCAATCTTTATCTCGTAGTTAGATGCGCAATTGAAAGATTTACTTCAAATTCGCATAATTTGCACGAAATTGATTGTCAATATATCATCTTCTAAATAATGTTTACCTGAAAAGGCCCAAATTCAATTTAATCTATATTTTTGATTCTTAATTAAAATCGAAATATCAGAAAAAGAAAGATCATCAGTATTCAATTCCGGAGGAACGTTATATTTGCGCACTATGCGATTTAAGAACTCTGCATGTTTCGTAATTTCCTTTTTCTGTTGCAATTTCAAGAGCAGTTTTCCCATGTTTATCCTTTGTATAGATATTTGTATCATGTAAAATAAGTAGTTCGGCCATTTTTGCCATATTAAAGTCTGCTGCAATATGAAGAGCAGTTTTTCCATTTTTATCTTTTTCATTGATATTTATACCATGTGAAATAAGAAGTTCGGCAGTTTCTTTACTATTATTTAATGCTGCCAAATGAAGAGCAGTTTTTCCGTCATTATCCTTTTCATGGATATTTATACCATGTGAAATAAGAAATTCCGCTGTTGCTTTACTATTTTCACGTGCTACTATATGAAGAGCTGTTTGTCCATAATCATCTTTTTCATTGATATATGCGCCTAGTGAAATAAGTAGTTCAACTATTTCTTCACCATTTTTCTCTGCTGCATAATGAAGAGCGGTATTTCCATTTTTATTTTTTTCATTGATATTTGCGCCGTGTGAAATAAGAAGTTCAACTATTTCTTTACTATCATTCCATGCTGCACAATGAAGAACTGTGTTTTCACTTTCATCTTTTTCATTGATATTTGCGCCATGTGAAATAAGAAATTCGGCTGTCTCTTTACTATTATTCCATGTTACTCTATGAAGAGCGGTTTTTCCAAAACTACCTTTTTCATTGATATTTGCACCATATGAAAGAAAAAGCTTGACTATTTCTATACTATTATAATATGCTGCTTTATGAAGGACTGTATTTTTATGTCTATTTTTTTCATTGACATTTGCGCCATGTGAAAGGAAGTATTCGCAAAGTGATGGAATACGAAATCTTATTGAACCAATAAAGCATCTGTTAACATTATTTGTTTGATCGAAATAAACTAAAAATGACTCAAGATTTTTATGAGTTTTGCAAAATGACATATCAATATCGATATGGTATTCATTCATCAAGAATGTAACAAAATCAATGTTGTGCGAAATAATTGCATATTTCATGCATCTTTCATCTGGTTTTTTATATTTCAAACATTCGCTCATGATCTCTGGGTTCCTACCTAAAAATGATAATTCTAGAGATATTTGATTTATTTCTGAATTAAATTTCGTTCTTAATAACTTGAAACAATCAACTGCACCATGGTAAGAGCATAAATTAAGCAATGAATATCCGGTATTGGAAAAAGGATATAAATCACTTTTTATTGTCTGATTTTTATCAAATCCTTCGCTTTCCGTGAAGAAAATGAATTTTTCTATATCATTATCCATAATTGCCCTATAAATTGTATTTTCTGAATGAATATCGAGATTTTTGAAATCAATTTTTTCAAATTGAGCAGATTTATTTAATTTAATTCCATATTCTTTATAGAACAAGAAGATTGAAATAAGTTCGGCGCTTTTGACCTGTTTCACTTGATATTCATCAGATATGAGTTTGGCAAGAGTTAAATATGATTTTGTATAGCGATTGTTGTACGGAATGATATGCAAAATATCGCTTATAATATTTTGGGGTGGATATTTCTTTGAATCAATCAATTCTGTTTTGATCTTTTTGTAAATTGAGATTAAGTCTTCTTCTTTTTCCGTTTTCAGCTGGTATAATGCGTTATACAAATCGATGTAGTATTTATATGCGCTTCGCAGTTCAGCGTATTTGTTTAGATGAATGTTTTGATCAGACATTAAAAATTTAAACGCCATTTATTTGCTTTTTACCATCTAAAATATCTTTTAAATTCATTGGAAGAAAAAAAATATAAATTCATAGGCAGCTGCTATTTTTTTTGGTGCTACGTGCCCGTAAAACGGATCACAAAAGTGGTATTTTTTATTGTGTGTCTGTGTTCTTTCTAATAAAATCACTGAAGTATGATAAGAGTATCTTTTGTACTCTTCTAGTTTTAACACTTTAGTCCTCTATATTAGTTTTCGGATATTTAATTTCAAAGTTTAATTTGAATTTCGAAAGACTAAACGAAAAGCAAATAAAATGAGAATAGAAGTAATTTCAAAATCACATTGTCAGATTTGGCCATGGAATTTCATGAAAGGAAATATGAGAGATATTATATTTATACTGATGGTGAAGTTGATATTTCATCATCTAGCTTTTGGAACTTCTCGTCCACTGGTGATGGAGGTGCAATATACAGCGAAAGAAATATTGATTTGAATATATATCTGAGCGATTTTCTTTTTTGTAGTTGTGTTTTTAGTGGTGGTGCTATTAGATCAAAATCTGGTGATGTGAATTTATCAAAAATATGCTTCATACAAAATAAGGCCGGATATGGCAATGATTTCAATATTTTTCGTGAAATAAAGAATCTTTGTCTATCTGATATTTCCTCTTATAAAGGAAATTCGTTTACTCAGCATGGAAATGCCTTTATGGCTAAAACAAGCTGTTTAGTCGAAAATATTAATAGTTCAAGCCTTATTTCTCATTCAAGTAATTACCATGGTTGCTTCCTGGTGATATATCTTGAAACATTAAGTCACAATGTTGGATATCTCCAAAACTATAATTCTACGGGTGATTTAAGTTTGATATCAATAATGGTTAATAGCGTTCCGATAATAGTTCATCATTTCAATTCACTTCATGATATCGGAACAAAGTATATCTTGAGTTTTGGTAATTGTAGATCCTATTATTCCTTCAAGAATTTCAATATATATGATAATCAAGATGTAAATTATATTGCTATATTTTCAGGAAATAGATTAGATCTGACATTTACAAATTGCACTTTCGATGCCTCCTCTGATATTTTAAAATATTGCTCAAAAACTAGCTGCATATTTGAAGTGAAAGATTTAGAAATGAATCCTGTTTTATTATATAATTGTCTTGTTCTGAGAAATATTGTTCAGACAAAAGTCCTTTCGTATATCTATATCAATATAATATTTTTACCATTATATACTTTAATTTGTACAAATTAATTAAACTAGTTTGTATTATAGTTAGAATTCTATTTGCATGTTGCTAATAGAAGAGGAGTTTTCTCATTTAGAGATATTTTCTTCTAAGTTTTAATGCAATCCTGAGTGCAGTAGCTCCATTATCATATGTATTAATTTTTGAAAGGTGTGACAACTATGAAGTATGATGAACCAAATTGTTCTGGTTTCAATTATGGGTAATTGCTCTAATGTTTTTGATCCTTGTTTCATCAATTCATCTTACAAAATCTTGAATTTCAGACGGCCACATTTTTGTTACATTTTTCGAACCAAAATGTTTTAATCTTTGAAAGAAGTGCAGCTATAATATTGAAATATTAGATATAGCAAAATGAAAAATATTTTTGACATTGTAAACTCTAATTTACATTGACAAAAAAATAATCTAAAACTAAAATGATAAATTGCGTCGCTATCATAACACAGAACGGTAGGATTTTGATAGTCAGGCGCTTCACACATTCGAGCGACTCAAATATTGAGGGCCATTTGGGCGCTTTTCCACAATTAGTTAAGAACTCAGGACATAACTACATTGATACAGAAACATCAAGGCTTGTATATCAAGAAGTCGGTGATTTATATGTAATTATATCTGTTTCGAAAGATACAAATATAATTGAAGCGTTAGATGCTGTTACATTATTTGTCGACGTTACAAGATCAGTTGTTGGCGAAATAGTTGAAGATAAAATTATAGTTAACGCTATTGATCTCATATTCGCATATGATGAATGCGTTTTCGATGGATTTGTACGAAATATCATTGTTTCTGATGTTTCTCGCTTTCTCAAAATGGAATCAGCTACAGAAGCCGCCTATCTCAAGGAACTCGAAGCTAAAGTTGCCCAACAAAGAGAAGCAATCAAAGCACACGAAGCTTCAGTCAAAGGAAAACCTATTCCTCAGAGTCAAACATTTACTCGCCAAACGGAATTCCAGCCGTCATTCGCATCTCAAAACGAGTTCGAACCTTCACCTTCAACTTATTCTACTCCAAAAACTACAGGAATGCAGCTCGGCAAAGGCATGAGGACATCAAAAGCACGTGCAAAAGCCGTTATGGCGGAAGAAGGTCTTACAATGCAAGAGGAAGCTGAGCCTGTTCAAAAACCAGTTGAAAATACAGGATTTCAAATCCAGTTCGAAGAGAAATTCAATGCAACTGTCAGTCGCCAAGGCATAGTTAGCGAAATCTCATGGGATGGAAGACTTTACGCGAATTCAAATCAGAAATGTAAAAGACAAATTGCACTTCAAATGCCAGAAACCAACAAATTCCTACTTAGACCAATGCAGCAAGCCGATAAGAAATTATTTACAAACAGCAAATGTCTTGTTTACGATAATATTACAACTGGATTTCAACCAGGCGTTAGAGGAGCTATTTTTGGGTGGAAGAGATCCTCCAAGTCTGCTGATGATCTTCCAATAAAGGTAACATGCTGGGTTACTCAAGCTTCCCCTTCATCTACATTTTCAGGCGAAATTTCACTTAAAGCAACAGATAAAGAGTTTTCCGACTTGACAATAAAGATACCAATAGAAAACGCTGACAGAGCAAACGTCAGTTCCATTGATGGCGAATACGAAATTATTGTTGATAAATCTGTTGGAAAATCATTCCTTTTGTGGAAAGTAAGTGAACTGAATATGGATAATGACCATGCTGAAATAGAATTTTCGATTCAAGTAGATCTCGAAGAAGACAGGTTCTTCCCTATTGTTGTTAACTTTAATATTTCAGAAATATTCTGCCCATTGGATGTCGTTGACGTTACTTCGCTTGATGACGAAGATAATGGCGAACAAATCAAATATACTGTTACTAAGAATTGTACTGCAAATAAGTTTGAAATAGAATAAAAAAAATTATTTCGTAAATTTTTTGTATTTTTCTTCTTTTTAAATTCTGAAACGGTAGATAATGATGTATCTATGCTATAGTTATAATAATTCTGGGAAATAATAATTCTGTCATAAAGTAAAGCCAACAAACTCCTACTTAAACCAATTCTGTGAAATAACAATTCTGTCATAAAGAAAAGCCATTTATTTCCTACTTAAGGGTGCATGCTCTTTAAAAATCAATATATCTTTATTTTAACCGCAGAAATGTATAACAGCCATATCAGGCACTATATAATGATTTATAGATATTTTTTCCCGACCGAAGATATTAACTTTTGACCATCGAAAATTGGGATATAAACCTTGAGTGTCAAAAAAATTGAGAGAATGTCAGAAAATGGTAAGTGCACCCTTAAACCAATTCTGGGAAATAACAATTCTATCATAAAGAAAAACCAACAAATTCCTATTTAGACTAATTCTGGAAAATATCAATTCTTTCTTAAGGGTGCCCTATAGACGATAGACCACCCTCAGAAAAGCACTTTTAAGGTTATTTCTGTTAAGCTTTTATCTCGTTCAAGAGAGAGATTTTTTGAACTTTACCATATCATAATGCTTAGTTATATTATGACCAATCTCTACGATTTTGAAGATTTAAATTACGTTGAGAATTCATCGATTTTGTGATTTTTTGATTTTTTTTCGAGTTTTTTTGATTTTTTCAAAAAAATAAAAAAGAAAGAAAATAAGGAAGGCATATAGTGTTTTTATTAAAAACAATTATTACAGTAAACAATGTCGCCAATTATTGGTTTTTTGAAATAATAAATTTGAAAAATGAAATATTGAGCATATATTCTACCCAATATCAATTGACTGATTAAATACAATATATATCTTTGCTTTATTCACTTTGATTACTTTTGTATTAAAAAAATCGTAAAATTTGGCGGGATTTTAGCTCTTCCTATGGAGTATTCTATTTCATTCATGGAAGGATACACAATTGAAGATATATTAATAACATATAAAGCTGATGACTGCCAAAAAAGGGTCTATCATCGAACTGTTTATTCAAATAAGAAACCTTTTTCGCATTTCATTAATCTAAACCAGCTTAATTCAAAACAAGATCATTCACAATCAAATGTTAAGGAAGAAACAATATTCAACGTCAAATTTAAGCCTGGAGTTCCGTATAGTGACGTTGTCAAGAATCTTCTTACTTGCATTTCTCTTATATCTGGTGCAGGATTTTCAAAACACATCGAATTGGCATCACTCCTAAACTTTCATTGCCCAACAGAAACTACATTACTTGCGCATCTAAAGAGCATATTGCCAGATCTTGAGAAAGTTGCAACAGCAAGTTGTGAAGCTAATATACAAGAAATTCTTAAACATGATTCAGAATACAAATTTAATGTTTCATTAGATTGCGCATGGAGTTCTAAGCGCGATGCTTTACATGCCGTCATTACGCTTATAGATATAAATACAAACAAAATATTAGATTTTAGAATAGTTTCAAGGCATCCAGAATTAATAAAATTCAAAAGTCCCAAAATTTTGGTTGAACCAAAAATTTCACCAGGATTAATGGAAAGCTATGCATTACGTGATATGTTGAAATCTGATTTATGGAAAAAAATAAAAGTTTTTTGTTCAGATGGTGATGTTAAAGATTCAACAATGATAGAGAATTCTGGCGCACAATTATCACATGTAAGAGATCCAAATCATGTGATAAAATCAGCATTTTCAAAAATTGTCACTAAATATCCTAAATTTGAAAAAATATTTAGGATCCTTTTTGCATGCCCAACATTAAAACCAGAGCAAAAGGTTCAGAGATGGATGGGATTAATTAATAGATATCCAGGAGAATCACCAGAGCATATCGAAAAAAGAGAAATTATTACAAATATTGCTCCATTGTTTCTAAGAATCAGCAAACAATATCATACAAATTTCAACGAAGCTTTCAATTCATTGAAAGCCCATTTAGTCCCAAAAAATCTTCGTTGGATTATTGGATTTCTAGCCAGAATTTTTGTTTCTGTATTTGCGTATAATGAAGACAATTGGAAGACAAAACTAAGAAGATTGTTTCGTACCGAAATGGCTAACAAAAAAGTGACAGAAAACCTTAAATTGTGCGGCAATTTTAATTAAAAAAATAAACATTAATTTTTGTGATTGATATTATGCATTTTATTTATATTATATAAGATTTAAATTTAGGGGAAAATTGAAAAAAAATAAAATTGGAAGTCTTTAGGTAAGAAGGAAAGGGCAAGAGATATATAGTGTACCTATATACCTCTTGCCCTTTCATTCTAAGTAGAAATGGGAGAAACTTTGTCCGCATCATAAGTTATGCGGACAAAGTTTCTCCGATTTCTAATGGGAATTACAGGCTATGAGGCACTGATATATAATCAGTACCTCATAGCCTACAATTCCCCTTATTAGACTTCCAAACTTTGAGTTAATGTCAAGACATTAACTCAAAGTTTGGAAAACTTCTCGTAAGAATCAATCGTCAAAAACCTCGATTGCAGTTATATTCATTGTGTTAAATTTGATTTATTTTGAAATTTTTATAAATTAAATTTTATATAACATAAAGCGTTATGAATTAGTATTTCCATATGAATTTTATCTCGAAAATAGTAATTCTGTACAGTTATATTTCGGTTAATTTTGGAAATTTCTAGGAATACTTTAAGATAGTATGATTATATATAACTCTGCCTTCATGATTTATTTTAGCTTTCGCGCAAATATCAGTTAACTTAACTCCATTATTTGATTTTGTGATGGCTTCACAAAGCCAATCAATATCAATCTCTTCTGGAGAATGTCTTCTCATCTAGAATATTTTCAATACTTTACATACAAACATTTTTATTTCTAAAAAACTTTTTAATTTTTTCTAGGATATATGAATGAAAATAGTTAGAACAAGATTTTGAAGCTCAAAACATTAAAGATTATTAAAGATTTGTATAATATGATTAAAAATGGGAAATAATATGAGGCAATATAAAGGAATATGAATATTAAATAAATATATCTAAATAGAAAGAATCAGAAAAATCAAATTATTGGCGCCAAAAATGTCACCTTTTTGGTGAGCCATTTCGGTATGAGATAACAAAACTAAGAAGATTAATGGGTATAGATGATTCTTATTTTGATGAAGATATTTTACAAGTTATATTAAATTTCGAAAATAAATCCGATTATGACCATATCAGAAGAACTTCGGAAAACTACAGAAATCATAACAGATGCGTTCGTTACATTCCAGATGAAATTGACCCAGAATTCGCTGACTTAGTTCCTCATAAACCGTCAAAAGATGGATCCAGATCCGAAAAAATTGAATACACTGACGATGAGGATCCGCCAGCGGATGAAGAACCGTCAGAATCTGAAAATCTTTCACTTCCAACAGATTATCCAAAATTCAACAAAAAATCTATATTTGGTTCCGATATCAAAGTACCACCAGATTGGAAAAGGTTTTCATTTTTCTTCAAGGCGAAGGAAATTCCAGATGATCCCCAAGAATTCCATAATTTATTATCCAAATTTAAACAAGATCTTTATAATACGTACTCGTCTTTAATTCGTATTAATGAAGAAAACATCTCGGCTGTTGCAGTTTACGATTCTCAGCAAGCAAAAGAAATTATGAATTCAGCTTTTACTGATTTTCATAACTTTAGTTAGTATACAAGTCTTGGGTATGGTGGCACTGCGTTCCACCTTACCCAATACTTGTGAATTTGACACTTTACAAAACCGTTAACGTATATTTTACAACATGAACGCAAAAACTAACTTAACCTTAAATATTTACAAAGCCGCCAACAATTTCACCTCACTATCGTTCTCACTAACAACTTCACTAATGTTCTCATAAATTTTCCTCAATATCTTCATCATCAGTGTTAACCCTATTGTAGTCATACTTGAAGCCATAAACTTTCTCTAACTTCTTAACGTACAATTTACATAACTTACCTTCGTCATCGTATGGTTTAATGATATAACTATTTCTATCTTTATAAACAGTCAATGAAAAGTCAACTGGTCTCGGATGTATTTGAAAGAACATGTTATGCTCAGGAAGGAAGAATAAATGTTTAAATGTATGTTTGTTATATGTTTTGATTTGTATGAGTTGCTTTTGTTCTGTCATTACATCCAAATAAAATAAAAATTTTCAGTAAAATAAAAAATAAAATAAAAAATAAATGATATCACCACCCTCACACGTATGAAAACATAGCACAAAAATAAATTTAGGTGAAGTGGTGAGATCTAACCCGATTTCTAACCCGATTTCTAACCTCATTTCTACCCTGTTGAATTCATTGCTTTATTCCTCACTGTCGTCTGCTTTCTCCAACTCTTCCAACTTCTTCCTAAGTTCAGCAATGTTGTCCTCATGAAGTTTAATCTTTCTCAAAATTCCTTCTTTATCTAATGGTTGCTTTATCTTTCTAAACTGAACTCTACCATCCTTCATAGTATGAATGTAAAAACCTTCTGGAATAGTTCCTGATTTAATGTATTCTACCAAAAACTTTTGTTTCATTGCTTCAGTGACTTTAGTCGTCATTTTACTCTAAGGTGAAGCTAGCACAGCGATAATGGATTTCATGACTTTTTAGTATTTCATGCAATCTTAACAGATAGCCTTACAAGTACTTCCAGTGTCCCTAGCTGTCCCTCCTTTTTATATAACTCCATGACATTTATAATCTCGCGAAACTTAACAGGTAGCATAACAGATTAAAATCAGATGAGGTTTTGAACCAAAATTTCTAAGCAACGTTGTCAAGGATTTTTGAGGAACTAGGGACAGAGTGTGGCAAAGTCCAAGATTTAATTTATCTTCATCTGTTTCATCAGATATCTCATCTAATATGCCAATATTTTATTCATAACTCGTGGCAAACTCACTAACTTTCATTATGTTCATCTGCATGCTTCATCTGATAGAAAGTATGACTTTCATTAACTCTGTGAGATAATGAAAACTACTAGGGACAGAGACCATGGCAAAGTTTATGACTTTCATTATTTCCAGAACTTAATGAAAACTACTAGGGACAGAGACCATGGCAAAGTTCATGATTTAATTTATTCTCTCACTAACAACAAACACAAACTCCAACACTAACGACAAAAATAAGTGTCCTCACTTCTTAACAAAGTAATATGTGCTTCTTACACCACCATAGCTCAAACGTTTCTTTTCAAACATCGATTGAAACTTATTTTGAGCCATTGGCTTTAGTCTCTTTTTCTTCAAATACGCCAAGAAATCTTCTTCACATCTTTTCACTTCATAGCCTTCTTTAAACTCCTCCTTGTTAAGTTCTATGAAATCCTTTATCTCATTCTTTGTTGCAATGGCTTCTTCACGAACGACATCATGAACTATTTCATCATTGCATTCATGTATGACCTCCTCACTGTTCTCATGAACTATTTCATCACTGTTCTCATGTATGACCTCCTCACTGTTCTCATGAACTATTTCAACACTGTTCTCATGAACTATTTCATCACTGTTCTCATGTATGACCTCCTCACTGTTCTCATGAACTATTTCAACACTGTTCTCATGAACGACCTCCTTACTGTCTTTCATAAGCGTTTCAAAGTCTCCTTTACTCATTACTTCAATCTCATGCTGTTCACAGTAGTACTTAAACTCACTGTATATGTCTTTGTTGTATGTTATATTGCTTCCCATGTACTCCATGAATTTTTCAAGCACTTCCTCATAATTCACTGTTTCTTTCTTTCCACGACCTTCTAATATCATACTTGCTTCGTAAATATAACTTCTTGCAGAACCGTCTCGCTTTCTACTTCTCTTCACAAATTCTCTCATCTTGCCACCAAATACATTTGAACTACATGCAAAGAATTCATTCTCCTTCGCAAATTCTTTATATCTTCTGTAGCACTCTGTACAATTCCATCCGGATACAAACTTTTCATAGAACTCCTCGTAAAACATTTGGTAAGGTGTTTTGTTCATTTCGATGAGTTCTTGTTTAGCCCTGGTGAATGGTATCTTCCTTACATCAAATTCACTTAAATCTTTCTTCATGAAGTACGTCAGTAAGTTTGAATAAAACTCTTCATTAAAGCTTTCAATGAGATTTGAGAAATATTCGTAATTTCCTTTGTATCTGCTGCTTACGTCAATGACAACAAATCTTCTGTCGTCTTTGTCAATCTTTACTGAGTTGAAGTTGTTAGATATCATGATGATATTACAAACATTCTCTATCTTTCTTACTGGCTGACACTTCTGATTTAAGTCCAACTGAGTCTCTGTTACTATTGACTTTAGTGCGTCGTGGTTCATGACCTTAGACGTATCGCATGAGCTTAGTTCATTGCATACGATGAGCTTCATGTTCTCAATAGCAGCATTGAATCTACCAACCACATTCTCTATTGCCGTTATATTATTGTTGGCGTACTTGCTAATGAGCTCGCATAGAACATTACTAAGTACATTCTTACCAGTTCCTTGCTTTCCTATTAACAAAAGTACTGTTCCAGTCTTTCCACAAGGATTTTGAACGATGTAGGCGAACCAGTTCAAAACATACTCATAAAGCTCTTCATCCTCATTACATATGACATCGTGAACATGTTTCAAATATCCTTCAATAACGCTTTCATCTACTTCATTCAGTACCTCATACTCATATCCTCTGAAATAGCTGTAAATGTCATCTCTTTCGTCAAAGAATCTCATGCCTGACTTCATAAGATAGTTCTTGTTCTGACCCGCTTCATAAATCATCAGTGCGTTCACATCCTTCTCCTCAATACGTCCTACATAAACACTCTTCATGAGCTTATTGAATTCCTTGCTATCTACTGACACAAGTGTTGTTGTGTCTCGTATTCCATCATAATCTTTCACTAGATATGTCATACGTGCTCCGTCAATAACAACACACATCTTCTTAAGTCATTTATAACACTAGCTATGTCAATACCGTCCACTCATGTACTTATTTTTCCTCAAGTCCTTTAGTGTGAAAGTGTCTCTAAGTTCTATTTCAAGCAATTCATTTACACATCCTTTGCAATACTTCTCTATAAAATATTTCTGTCGTTCTTTACTAAGTTTCTTAACAGCTCTGAAGAACCATGTGTTTTGACTCAAACATCCTTCACAACTTCTCTCATTCATTCCTAGTTCTTTCATGTCATTATCTTCAACCTCTATGGTCTCATTGACTAAGGTCAAAGGGTTCTTAGTCATTGCTGGTCTTATCTGAAACAATGTTTGTGCAACAGGTTTAACTAGTTCAGCAACGTCCTTCCTTAATATGAATAGCTGTTTCCACTCATCTTTGCTAACAGTTCTTTCATAACCACTGACAGTAATGATTTCATTTGCTGACCTTAGACGCTTATGTTCTATCATTTGTATTGCTTTTGTGTAAGGCTTTCGTGAGCATAGGTTGTATATGTCATTCCTGCAATGTTCATTCATGCCAATAGTACTAAATCCTTTCTTTGCTGTTGAGTGCATAATATCCATTAGTTCCTGTGTTCGTATTGCTGTCTCATAAAATACAACAAGACCTTTGTCATCTATGACGTACTTACCGAAAACATTGCTTATATTCTTTAACCATGAAATAACATCCTCATTCATGCTGTCAAACATGAAGTAAGGTCTTACATACTCTTCACTTATAAGATACTCCACAAAGTACTTGTTAAGCTCTATGTCCTCGTGAGCGATTTCATTAGGTTTGATATTAGTTCCTTTTGTCATTGCTGTCATGTACTTCACTCTCATAGTTCCTTTCAATAGCGTAAAAATACTTCATTGTTTCATAACTGCTCTAAATTCTGTTCAAAATTCGTACAACATAACTTTTAACATTAGTGAAAGAACATGAGCGAAACAACAACATCTAACATTACAGAAGAAGTCAATGACAATGCCGATGAAAACATTACAGAAGGAGCTAGTGAAAATATTGACGAGTTCAGTGAGGAAGAAGATATTGAGGACGTCAATGAGAACGTTAGTGGGGAACAAACTCAATGGGAAACATTGAGAAATCATGAAGATTATGAGATTTGTACGACATATCCTTTTACTATTCGTCGAAAGAAAAACAACATATTAAGAGTGAATGCTTAAATAATCATGGTTATATTGAGCTTAGTTTAAAAAACAAAACGCATTTAAAGCATAGAATTATTGCAGAACAGTGGATTGAAAATCCAAACAATTTGAAAGAAATAGACCATATAAATCATGATAGAACGGACAACAGAATCTCAAACCTTCGTTGGTGTTCTAGATCTGAAAACAATAGAAATAAAAGCAAGTATGGCGATATAGTTTATGAGTTCGTTGATGAAATATCTGACGAAGCTGTTGAAATAACAGATTATGGTAAGCATTCGTTTGAGTTCTACTACTATGTTGAGAATGAGGACGCATTCTATTATTATACAGGTCTTAACTATCGAAAACTTCATATAAACTTTACAAAAACAGGTGATGCTTATGTTTGTATGATAGATACAGAAAACAAGAGAGTAATTTTATGCATAAACAAATTCAAACGCTTGTACGGCTTCATGTAGGACAAACATTATTTTTTCAACACTAACGCCAACACTTAGGACAAACATTCATGACTAACATTACTGTATAACAT